TTTGTTTATTACCGTATGATGCAAAAAGTATAAATTTAATCAAACCATGTATCGTGTATATTGAACTTTATGTAGCATGCTCTTCTTTAAGAGGCACTCGCAATATTCTGTCGAATGATACGAATGATTCACGGCGAATTCGTCTCGCTTTAATCGCTGAAAAAAAAACGAACATAGTCAAACGACATTTTCAAAAAATAAAATTCTCTAAAATCTGTCATTTGTTCGTTATTATTTTTTTTTTTTTTCAAAGAAGCAAAATTCTATGAAGTCTGCCATTTGCTCGTCAATATTTCTCTGAGATATTCTTTCTCTCTTATAATCTATATTCTTTAATTGCAAAGAGAAGAAGCGTTGTAGAACTTATGTATATTCTTTTTTCAATTGTTTCCATTAGTAATGTTGTATCAAGTATGCTCCTTTTCGTCTATATTTTTATTATGATACTATCACCATAATAATTTTATATTATTGCATTTTCCCGTTATTTTTTATATTCTAAATTTTATGTAATAATGTTAATTAAAATTAAATAATGTTAATTAACAAAAAATTCTTGTCATCGCTGCTATGGATTCGATAATTATGCGCACAAATTGTTTCAATCCTTCGCACGTTGAGTACAAAATTGTTAATTCCGAGAGTGAGCTTTCGTCGTTGTCTCGTTTTCGTTTCGTAACTTTATATTCGATATTTGTCCCTTCCAATTATACTACAGTCTTCCTCTTTTCTACCTTGAATTTATCCTCGAAGATACCTGTAAATCCCAGTTCCATACCTTGAGGTGCCGCTCCGCGGTTTCTGTGAGATACTGGTTCTGATGTGTTTAGGCCCAAAAGTGTCCCGTCATCGCCGATGGTGAAACGGGCCTTCTCACGATTGGGCACGATCACGGCAGGATGGGGAAGGAGCATTAGAAAACACGGCGGAGGAAATACTCTGCAAAGCGAGGATCGAAAACGATGGGCCAGCTCGCAAGATTGCAGTAGTACGTGTCTCAATCCTTAACGGAATTCACGGATCATATCGGATACTTTTTATTTCTTATTTAAGCACAAAAAATAAAATAGTGATTCTAATGTTTAATCACAGCACATAAAGCTGTATTTATACGATAATTTTATGTTTTGAGCGAAAAGACAAAGTTTAAACGTTATTTTTTTTTTTTCAGATAAGGAAGCGAAGGATAAGGACAAAGCAGCCCAATCATTGGCAGTGCCGCGACTCAGCGTTTGTGCGGACGCGCAAAAAGTAGATAAAGCCAAGTTGGCGCAGACCGAGGTGAGCGAAATATCACGACATACCTTGGTACTCAGAAAACCGACGCGAGATCTTTTCGCATTAATCCGTGAAATTAAAATTTTTTTCTGAGAATATAACATTTTTCATCAAAGTTATATTAAAATATTTCAGATATTTTGTAATATATTCTGTAATCCTAAATATCTTTACTTTTCATTATTTTGTCTTACACATTTAATATGTCTATTCTATATCTTTTATAAGTAAATAATTAACGATTAATATTAAATCATTAAATTATTATTATATGTAAGATATATTAATCAAAAAACAAATTCTGGAGCCTGGAGTCGCAGTTGTGATCCTCCATTAATAAAAATCAATATTTTCAGTTCGACATCATCGAGTTCGATCCAGAAACATTCCGAATTCTGTTGGATTATCTTCATACCGGATCCTGTCCATTGACATGCAGCAATATACCTGGTCTGATATGCGCCGCAGAACACTACGACCTGCCGGAACTTCTTCAAGCTTGTTTCCACCATGCCAAGCAGTTTCTCAGAATCGAGATAGTTTGCGTGATGTTGTGCGCACTCGAGAATTACTACTGGCGTTACACGTCCGCCTCGGAATTGGTCAACATGATCCTCGCGTTCATCGAACCGAGGGCTTATCAGCTCTTCGACAACCCGGACTTTCTCACTCTGAGCGAATCGATGGTGCAGATGATCATGTGCCGTAGTCTCGAGGTGGGGGAAATCAAGAAGTTCGAGGCGATGCTGAGCTGGGCGAAGAACAGAATCAAAACTAAATCAACCAAGCTCGACGCTAAAGTGGAGTTCAAGTGTATCATGGAGAGGCTCAGTAGGGACCTCAAGTTATATAGGATAACACCTCATGAATTAATCAGGGTAGGTATCAACAGAGAGATATATAAATGATATTCAGGACAAAAATCAGTTAGGTAACTCTTTCAAATTATTCCCCCAAATTATTTAATATTTCATTTTCCAAATTATTTAATATAAAAAAGAATATTTTTACTTTTGATTATGTCTTATTTATCTTATTTGCCGACAAGTTTTTAAATATACGAAATATGAGAAGTCAATATTGAAACGATTCAAGTTGTAGATTTATAAATAACTTGAGTTAATCTCTTATTTTCTTATAGAGATTTTCTTTAGAGAATACATAAAAATTAATTATAAAAATTTCAAATCATAAAAATTTTGGAATCAGGTATGTGTTAGAAAAGTTTGAGCATATATTCACAAATATAAAAATAAAAAGGAGGTAGAAATATTTTACTTATAATTCTAAATGTAGATATATGGCTACAATGGGAATAAATTAAACTGATATTAAATAATATATATATTATATATATATATATATATATATATATATATATATATATATATATATATATATATATGAGACTAAATCGTGAAATATTATAAATTATTTGTTTCATTAAATATATAAAAAATTGCTTCTCACTTTTCCAGATCGTGTTACCATCGAAAGCTATAAGGAACGAACGTATTCTTGAAACTCTGATGTTCCAAGCAAATTCCGGAATATATAGAAATGTCGATAGTTATTTGGAAGCGTACCAGAAGAAAATTCAAAATCAAGAAAGCTTCGATTGCGGACTATGAAAGTCAACGAAGCCACGAGAGGTGCCGCAAGGATGATGTGTACCTGAAAATATTGATAATTAACCGATGATTCTCCAATGATTCGAAAATTATTCTCTTACAACTTTGCTGCGCCCAAATCGTGTTATCGGATAATTGTACTCGAATAGTCGTAATCTTTTCGCGATATTGATTTAAAATTAGAGCATTTCGACTGCTACCGCGATATTCGATACGTAGAAGTCGATAATTACATTGCGGGGTCTGACAAGAGTTGACGATGATAGATTGCTTTGAGATTATGCAAGGTCACTGCTGAGCCACTTGATGAATAATGTGTTTAGACGCAATCTTGGCTTCATTCGCGCAAACTTTATTTTATACTCGTGCAGTAATATCAATAACACTGATGGCATATCGAGGGATGTTATCCTTACTTTGTTAATCATCAAAGTAAATCATCTGTGGAGAGAATAATGCTACAAAGTTGATATTAAAACAGATATAGAGAATTATTGAAAGCTTTTTTAAAAGCTTTATTTTAAAAATCCGAAAAATTTAAGAAATTTTATTTTTTCTTATTTAATAAATATCTATTGAATTTGTGAAATATTGATTAATATGAAAGTTCAATATTTAAATTTGATCAGTAAAGGACAATTCAATATTTAATAATTTCCGTATAATTATTCCCGCATAATACAAGATTTTTTATTATGTATTACATTTTTTTATAGACATTTTATCTGATTTTTAAAATATAAAAAATGTGTTAAAACGATATTTTCGTAACATTTCGTAATCTTCAATTTAATTGAATTTTATTTCCATTTGGTATAAATATAATAAATATAGAATTGTTATTAAAATCGGTTGCAGATGAAATATATGTAATTAATACTAGCATGAAAACGACACATTCATATATTTAATGAGAAAATTCAACCAAATAAAATTTTCGATTAAAAGTCAAGATAACGAATTAAGAAAGACTTCTATTATATTCTAATATCGCGGGTAAACAATAACGAGGATAAATCCGACTAAATATTGTTCATCAGTGTGTATGACTTCACTATGTATCATATCATCTGTCCTCTCGCTTCGATGAAACGAGAAAAACGAAAACAGCGAACGAATCGCCCGACGATTCGACAATATCGTCGACGTAAAGGGTTAAGAAAAATTCATTTTGATGATTATCAATTAGAAGGGTTCTCGATTGAGTACCCTTACGTATCGGCGGTACTCAATAAATTGCCGACACATGACAATCTGTATCATAAAAGAAAGCGCTACTACCACAATTTAACACGTAAAGAAATGGTTTACTATTACGTAAGCTTAAAAGAATATATAAATATGCATATAATACATATACCTACCGATACATATATAAGAATATATATATATATATAAGAAGAAAACGCTAAACGATGAATAACAACAATAATAATGAAAATAACAATGACACTAGTAAAAAAGAGGCGTAATATAATATAATAACGATAATATATATATATATAT